TCAGTTTGTTTTAACCCCTTAATTCTCGCTGTCTGATTTGTGGGGGTTGGAGAGTATTAATGTGCTATAATTAATACAAGATTGTTTTAGAAATGTATAACACCAAATTTTGATTTTTATAATACCAGAATTTACAGTGAGTTTTAATGGGTTAAAAGCAGTACACAAATTTATGATGAAATTCAAAATTTAGTCACACTAGGCTTGGAGAGCCAATCTGGTAAGCCTAAGGTGAAGGGTGAGAGAAACAGAAAAATGAGATATGGGATAATCTTAGTAACCACCACTTGTGAAATTTCCATGGATCCAGCTTGTAAATAAGAAACCAAAGACTGCTTGTAATTGGTGAGAAATTAATTTATTAGATTAAAGCTTGTTCAAGGAAAAAAAAATAAATTACATCATGATAGAACTATGCATATGCAGTGGGCGAGAAAGGAGATATAAACATAAACATTGGATATAATTATATATCAAGAGTAAATGCTGCAGATGTAGGAATGCTAAATTTAAAACATTCAAGTTTAAAATTGTTCTTAAAAATAAAAAAATGAAATTAGCTATACTATATACACAACCACATATTTAAAAAAAAAATAAAAATTTATTTTAAATTTAAGCATCCCCTCTCCTTCATGCCCATATGTAATCACATCATCATAAACATCACTTTAATTCAATAAAAATAACAAAATGCATAACAAAATTTTTCCCCACTTTGTCATAGATTTTCCTATATATATATATATATATATATATATATATATATATATATATAGAGAGAGAGAGAGAGAAAAACAGACAATATTATATATAAATTTCTATATATCAGAATGTTAGGCAATTAAATGACAAAGTGGAAAAATTCTGTATAATGCATTTCATCCATTTAAAGGACTTCATCAGAATAAACTAATGTTTATATTGATAGAATTATATATATATATATATATATATATATATATATATATATATATATATATATATATATATTATAAACAAAAATTCAAATGCAAATGGTTAATGATTTAATTGGCGAGAAATCCATCGTCACAAACAATTCAAATAATATACAAAAACCTCCGAATCTGTTCTGAATGAAAAGATCCTTGTTTCTATAAAAAATTTTCTGTAAAAAATTTAAAATCAAACTCAGCATTGCTATTGCACGCTCCAAAAACAATAACTCATTTCCAATAGCATTTTCGGATACAACAATACATATATTTTTGTTGTCCTCTTATTACTAAGAGAAAAAACAAGAACAACATCTATTCCATACCTGAAGATGTCTGTAGGAACAGACGAAAGCTTGTAGTAAAAATAAGAACTAATGCGGCAGAAATTTATAGAAACAAGGATCTTTTCATTCAGAACGGATTCGGAGGTTTTTGTATATTATTTGAATTGTTTGCGATGATGGATTTCTCGCCAATTAAATCATTAACCTTTGCATTTGTTTTTGTGTGAATAATTCATGAATTTGTAAATTGATTGCACGTTTATCGAAATATAAATATATATATATGTATGTATGTATGTAGGGGTTGAAAGCAGTGATATAAACAAATGGCGTTTATAATTATGCACTGATGGGAAAAAGTGAAGATGTGGGAATGCTAAATCTCTAAAATGTTTGAGTTTAATTTTTTTTAAATTAAAAAATTAAAAAAGAAATTTGAAACTCAAAAATGTTTCTTTTTCTTTGTTTTATCACTATTATTATTAAGTATCCCACATTGTGATATAATAAAATATTTGTCAAAAAAGGTAAAATGTAAGAACCTGGATATATATTTACTGTGAATGATGTAGTTATTAAAGCACTTTCTATATATTTTCATCTTGATAAATTGCTTTCACTTTAAGTTAAAGTAGCATTTTTTAAATCAAAATTATGGTAAGTGATTAATGATTTTTTTGTAAAAGATTCCTTTTGTGTTCATATAACTTTTTATTTAAATTCCTTGAGGTTTCTCCTATGTATACCTTGTGGCAATTATTACAATGATAAACTTCTCCTTCAAGTTTTAGCTTGTTATTATCTTGATTTGTATTAATTCAGTCCTTTATTGTTTTAGAAGTGGTTGTAACAAATTTTATGCTTAGATAAATTCTTTTCAATTGTATTTGTGATGGTGTTGGTGGGTAGAATAATATATTTTGATTTGTATCAATGTAAATATCACTTTAGTCTGATGAAGTCCTAAAGGATGAAACATGACACAAAATTTTCCCCCACTTTGTCACAGATTTTCCTAAAATTCTTCTGATGTATAAAAATATATATATGGTTTATATATATATATATATATATCTTTTAAACAATCTGAAAATCAGTGAGATACATTTATTCTCATCAGTGTGTCCATGAAAAAGCCTTTTTCACAAAATCATAACACAAATAGAAGTCTGTTGGATGAACGACTTGAGAGTCGTTGATGAAATATTTCATGCATAATTACTTTGTACTGGGTTTCTCAAAGCTCATGGATAGCAATTCAAGACAATTTGTAAATAGTGATGAAGGTGGTGATTGTCATAGAGCAACTGACAAGACATGACAGTGCACAAAAACTATACTAATCCCAAGCAATTAAAACAAACTTAGACGTAATATGCATTGCACAAAAGAGGTCCTGTGTTAAGCAGAACACTTAAAAGATAACATGTAGTGCACAGATTGTTTTGTATTCAATTTATCTACAGCAAACAAACTAATGCTTGACTGATAAGACATATAAAATTATATATAGTGAAGATGGAAGTTAATTTCCTGTGTGATTAGAAAAAAAGTTACTGAAAACTTTGCCATCCAATAGGATATCAATTATTTGCCAACAGTTATCCAAGGACTTATTTAAGACATCCTTAGCAATGGATTAATAATTGATACCTGACAATATTAGAATTATTTATGGATACTTAAAATCAGAATTCAATACTGATGGACACTTTTAAAATCAGAATTCAGTACTGGTGGACACTTTTAAAATCAGAATTCAGTACTGGTGGACACTTTTAAAATATGAATTCAGTACTGGTGGACACTTTTAAAATATGAATTCAGTACTGGTGGACACTTTTAAAATATGAATTAATTGAGTCAATGATAATGAATATATATAAAATAATTGTATGGTCAGAGATGCATTTTTGTAAAGTGCTCAGAGAAAAAAATTTAAATAATTTGAAATTGAAGGAGAGAAGACATAAAAAACATATGATAATACATATATTGCAAGAAATATAAAAATTTAAACCAGTCAGTTTTTGAATTTATTGAAGTGCACAATTTTGTTAAAAATGAATTACCTTCTACTGCTGATGGTAACTTTTTCAATCTACTCTAGTGTAAATAAGTATTTGTTTAGTTAGTATGTAGATAATAAATTCTTAGTCCATCATATTTGATAGCATACAATAGCTCCAACTCATTCCATTTACTATTATAGTATTGGATGTATGCGTAGCAGAATGATTTAAAACACAAAACATGAAACTGATGAGCAGAGTTCAAATACCGGCCTCATCTGTTTTCTCTCCTCAGGTATGGGTTATTCTGGCCTTTGTTATAGACAAGCATATGGTTGCAAGAAAGAAATACGACAACAGCAGAAATAGATTTACGTGATTTATTTCAATAGGAATGTGTGGTTTTGGGACAGCTACCTTGTGGTATAGTTCATAGGCCGGCTGAAGATCTGGGTTGATCTCTCATAGTAGTTCTTGCTGGTTGGCGTAGCGCTGCTGCTGACCGCTCAGCCTGACCGTGACAGGTCTCTTCCCTGGCTTCCTGTTGACTGTACGTTGTACTTCCCTGTGACCCCTTTTATGGCGTTTTTTTATGGCTTAACAGGCTTGAAAAACGACATGAGTATAATTAGGAGGGAAGCATTTTTATTGGTCGAAAAATAGAAACACTTTAAAAGATTATTTTATTTTTCGACCGGAACTCGTGCGTCGGGAACATGCGTAAACGAAGATAATGGCCATTTTGTGATGGGGCCTTGTCCCGTTCACATCCAGCACTCGCTCTTGAGTATGTTAGTTTATTTGCCTGTAAATCAGCCGAGATATGTCTTATTTTATTTTATAACACCTTGGTTGGCAACTAGTCTAAGAGAATAAAAACTGAAATCAAACCATGGAGAAGATAAAAGGATACCACTTCACTATCTTTCCCAAAGAGGTATGGCATTTTACAAATAACAAAGAAGAATCTGTGGAGAGCCATAATCACCAACATCCTGAAGAGACATGACATTAAAAAAAATAAAAAATTGTGGTGTACAGTCCCGTAAAAGCAAATGAGCCTGAGTGGCTAGCATCTGATGCAAAGCAAAATAAGGGTTTTACCTCAACGTGCGGCATATGGCATTGGCATTTTCGCTCCTTGAAAATGGCATTAGTCTCTTGTCCAGCTATTCCAGCAGTATGTGTGGTAACAGGTTTTTTTTTTTGTTTTTTAGACAGTTTGACATGCTTCAACCAATAGCAAATTGTGTGCTGATTGGTCAGATTGGAGGAGGCTATTTGCCTGGGTAACTGAGAATAAAAGCAAAGAACGCTGATTGATTGGTCAGCCACAGTGTTGGCCTGATAAAAGAGGGCTGAAGCAGTGAGAAGAAGAAAATGGGTTTACGTTTTGAAGTGTGCGGAAGGCACAAACGGCAGATTGAATCAGCAGTATCTTGAATTGTCCGAATGACGTTCTACTAATAGAGACTCATTTAAACTACAAAAATCTGCAGTATTATAGAGTTAAGCTTCATACAAGGGTTACTAGTCTGTAGCATCTGGGTAAATATTAGACCACCTCAACTTTGCATTTAAGACCTGGGAAATTTTTTCCCCTTAAAAATGACTAAAAAAAAAATCATGAAAAAAGTGGAGGGTCTTCTATGACATCAAATATGATACTTTTTAACCAAGTAATGTAACCAATAGGATTATTTTCAAAGTTTTGTAAATCTAAAATTAAAAATAAAAGAAATTACCATCTTTTTGTTGGCCACTTTGTTCTTGGATTTCTTGAGCAGAAATATCTCCATCTTTGAGTCGTTTAGGCTCTGTATCAAAAGCTAAGGCAATACTAGTAGGACTATCAGCCTGAAAAGAAAAAAAAATGATCTCTCAGACAAAAAACATTAAGAAAAGTTTCTCAGAGAGATTAAACTATTTTAAATAATTTAAAAAAACAATTTTCAATACTAGTACTAGTACCTTGTGTGTGTAAATATATATATATATATATATATATATATATATATATATATAAATAAAAGGAAAAAAGATAATAGGAAAACTCTAAAAATAGACAAGCAAGAACATCACTGAGAGGAGATCCCATTGTTAAACCAAATTTTTGCCTGTAAAGTAGCTTATCAAAAATAAAGAAATGCTTGGTGATTAGCTGGCATATGTTTTATGATTTTATGTGTAGATAGAGGTAATTTAATTTTTGCTTTTGTTATGAGTTTTTTTAGTAGATTTAAGCATTTCTCTATAGGGACGTTTGTGTATAGAAATTTTATGTCTAAACTACCCATATATTTGTTTTTAATGTTTATGTTTTTTAATTTGTTTAGGAGGTCAGCTGATTTTTTTGTGTATGTTGGACGAATAGTGCCAAGGAGTGGGGTTAAAATTTTGCTTAGTTTGCTGGCTAGTTTATGTTTTCTATGGGTTAATTCTGAGAAACATATATATGTGTGTGTGTGTGTGTGTGTGTGTGTAGATAGATAGATAGATAGACAAAAATAGATGATAAAAAAATATTTTTAAGCCATGCTATATTTATGGATAAAAGTGCTCAATATCAGAGATAGAGCATCTGTAAATATTTATAAGACACTGGGGTCAACACCAAGCATTGTCAGTCTGTTTCATGATTGAACAACAATCTTTTTGGCCTGGAGATTGCACCCAATATTTACATATGCTCTATCCCTGATATTGAGCACTTTTATCCAGAAATATAACATACTTTAAAACTATATTTTATCATATATATTATATGTATGCATGTATGTATATTGATTGCAGTTGCCTTGATTGAGATGTGTATGCATGTTGGAGCTGGAGGGTACATCAATAAATATGCAGCCTAATAATGAAACAAGCATCTATATGAGGGATTTTTTTTTCTTTTTTCTTTTTGTGGGTTGGATGAAGCAAAATCATAATCAAGCCAAGAACTTTTTTCAGCCCTTCCTCATATATAGAAAATGACCATTTTTTAAAAATATTTTTAACTATCCATTTATGTTATAGTGGAACACACCTATTCTATAGTTAATAGACTCTCCCACTTATAATAAGTAGGAGTAATAATAGTAACGAGGAGTCATTCAGTGGGTCAGTCAGTCGATGCCGGATGACCATTAGTCGAATACTAAAGTATCAGCGTCCGCCGCTAGATTTCTCTGCGTCATTACCTATTATATCAAGTTCCTAACATTTTGTACATCGAACCTATTTTAGGACCGACTTAGTACAAATACAAGCCTCCACTGTAAAACCACTCCATAACAATTTACTAAATTGTGGAACTGGAGTTGGGTGATATAAAGAAATTACTTTTGAAATAAAACAAAGTCTTGTTTATGCTGGAGATATGAGTATTTTCAAAGTCGTCTTCTGTTCTTTTAAATTATGTCCTTTCTGTGTGTTCCTTGACACATGTTTCCGTTTGTGTTCTGAATGTCTGTTAATGATATCAACAATTTGAAAAGGAACGGTTTTATGCAATATGAATTAAGTTTAGTATTGAACAAAATTCCAAGATAAAATTGTTTTAAAAATAGCAACTTTAAACATTGTGAAAAATTTACATGCAGAAAATTATTGACGTTAATAAATTTATAAGATGGCTTAATTTTTTTTTTGTTTTCATATTTGATATTTTTTGAATAATTTGACAAAATAATGAGTCTCTGTATATGCAATTCTAAGAAAAACCAAGAGACATTTCCTCAAAAAACATCTGATGTTTTGCCATTAGTTTGATTTCAGGAAGTACGTTGGGTTATTAAGAGAACATATTTTTATGAATGAAATTTCTCTGGATTCTAGGTCATATAAACTTCAAAGAACTCTTTGATGTAGTTTGATGACTTTACAAGTGGGAGTCTTTTATCTGGGTATTTGTATTCATTAGTTGGTACCAAAATGAAGTGAGTTGACTGGCGAAGTCAGTTGTTGCAGAAATCTGCTTCAGAGCAATTCATTTAGTACCCTTTGCTGACCTGACAAGTAAACTATACCACATGATGAAACCCAGCAACTCTCGACTGAAGTTATTTTGAAATGTTTCCAACTTGCAATTAAGCCTTTATGTTTTTTTTTACCTTTTTACCTACTGACCAAATCACTAAAATTAAAATAAAACCCTTCTGTCATTGCCTTTACTTCTCTTTATATCTTATTTCTTTGGTCGCACAGGTGACAGGGTCAAGAACTTTTCAACCCCCTTTTGTATGTATTTCTATAGTTGTTCTTGCTTGAATTTCTGGTACAATGAGTTATTACTTTATTTTATTTACATTTTGGACTAATGTCCTCATCTTTGATTTTAAGACAAGATATCCCTAAACATGGGCAGAATGAAAACAAACTACTCCCATAGATTAAATAAAGGGTTCAGTTGGAAATTCCTGGAAGACCAAAAGATATATGAACACTGACCCAAACATACCACAATATTCCTAACACCAAAACAACATATTCTTACTGACCTTTCTTACTACTTCCACCATAATACCTCATTGTCTCTATGAAAATCTTAACTAGTCCCTAGATGTACAATTCATTGTCTATGGAGGGGAGGAGAATAAAAAGACAATTTAAAAACTAACCCCAATGAGTATTTACAATATGAAAACAAAACTATTTACAAGAAACCAAATAAAATAAAACCACAATCCAAACAATTACCATGAACGTATTTAGAAAAAAAAATCACAGGGAGGCAACCTTATGATGGTAAGAAAGTAACTGAAGCCAAACCGCCAGATCAAGACCAATAATATTGCTGATTATTCTTTGAATTTTATCAAGGAGTTCATGGTAAAATAGCAAGGGCACCGGACCATATGTGGCAGCAATATTCTAAGCATGGACAAATGGAAGACTTATAGATATGTATGATAGATTCTGAAGAGAAAGATTGTCTTGTACAATACAGTGAACCAACTTTCTTAGCAGCTGATCCAGCAATGGATTCAAGCCTCCAAATAATTGTTTAAAATGTTTGGAATTTGTACGATTATTCTTTTACCCTTCTATCTTAAATTTTTGTTGGATCTGGAACAGGCAATGTCATCAAATATGAGAATTTGAAAAGTAAATAAATGAAATGCTGCAATGCAGGAGCTTCATTTATGATGCAAAGAATTCATGCTGAATGTACTTTGAAATATTTGTGTACTGAAGTAATAAAGTACCTATATGACTTTAGTACACAATATACTGTAATAGTAAGACTAAAGTAAGACTATGTGTAATTTTCTAAAATTATAAAAATTGTCACTTCAGCAAAAATATGCTGATGTCAGCAGTTATGGAACAAAAAGTGTATTTACTATAATCACAATTACCTTTAAAATAAGTCAACAAATTGAAAGTTGTACACAAGTACAAAAAGAACCCCCAGCCTAAAAGAATAATCCTGCAAATTCCAATCAATTTAAGCCCTTATTTGGACTTATATGGCATTTTAAAGTTGGCAGACAAACAGTCCCACCTTTCCAGACCTAAAAAATAACTGCCCTAGGATTGAGATAATATTTACATTGTTTTGACAAAATCAATATTGATTGACTGAAGCTTTATTTTCATATTTAAACCTCAGGCCAAGCTACTAATAAATAACATGATAAAATTATTTTGTTATTTCAATATTTTTTTTGTCTTCTAAATATTCTTAATGCGTCGATGGTATCATGGTTATCAGTACTGAAAATGAATTGCCAAGCTGAGATCAAATTCTTATCAATTTGGTTTTGTTCATGTCCTGCTAATGCTCTTGGAAAAGCATGGATCCATCTTCCTCCAGCTATGGGTTAAATAGTACTCTTTAGCCTTGGTAGATCAATCAGTCTAGGAGAAGGACAACTCTGAATACAAAACCAACCCTAAGTGGGATGAGCTCAGTCAGGCTATCTTGCCCTAAATCGGTGCTTCTCAACCTTTTTCAGCCCATGAACCCATGGACTTTTTTTTCTTAAAAAAAAATTCAAATGGACCACTCCTGCTTTTACTTTTAGGCTATTTAATAATAATACCTACATAATTTTGAAATTTTCAAATATAATGGACATGTGTGTAAGTAAACAAAAGATTACATTTTTTAACTCTTCAAACTATGATACATTTTTAGATACATAGAGTTTAGATACATTTTTGTGAAATGACTACAATTTTTTTATGGCTACAAATTCTCTGTGGACCACCAGAAATGCTATATGGACCACTGGTGAGAATCACTGCCCTAGACACACCACTGCAGTTATAGCAGTAGTACATGTGATGCCTCTACAATCTAAAAAGAGGTTACAGAACTCATGATTGTGAATTTTGTTAAAAATAAATAAATAAATAAAAATAATACTGACACAAGAAAATAGTTTATTGAAACTTGGAACTTTGTACGTTTGTTAATTCTTAACTGTACGAGTGAATTCTATAAATAACCATGTATTCAGTTTGTCTGACCCCCATTTCACCGTATGTTAGGCATAAAAGAGAAGGAAAATAAAAAGCTGTAAATTTTTTCCTATTAAGAAATCTCTCCAGCATATCAGTGTACTAAAGAGGAACCTTGACTAAATAAAACAGTCTTGCGAATGTTTTTTCCTATATTTTTGTGCTTCCATATCTGAATCCACAAGTGCTTTTAACTTGTCAAATGTTAGCTTTGAATGTGGAATTATAATTTTAATTTATTTAATTTGAAGAAAGGGTTTGAATCTTTATATCTTTGTTAATTCCTTACTGTATGAGTGAATTCTATTAATAACACTGTATACTTTTTGTCTGACTCTCTGTCGCCACCTAAATTGAGCTGAAAAGTAAAAAAGATTCTATAAATACCATTTAAAAAATTATAGCAAAGAAATAAAATTAAAAAAAAAAAAATGTATATTTAATCACCGTATGGGGTATAAAAATATCAGCTGTATAAACAAATAGGGAGCCAAGAGCAAACCCAATTGCAACAGGTACAAATGCCCACTGCCCATTGGCTCCATAAAAGCCAGAGGATTGAGCCATTTCAATAGCAGGATCAAGTAGAGACCAATAGGAAGCAGCTGTCATCACCTTCAAAGACAGAAAAAAATGTTTTTAATTCGATTTCATTTCAGCAAGTATACAAAAATCTTGGATAAGTTGAATGACCTTGAAAAGTAAATAATAAAAGTATAATAATAATAAACAAATGAAAAAATACACAAATTAATTACAAAGAGAGCAAATTATATTGTGATTAGTCTGTGGTAAGGTGTTGTTGGCAGGATTTTCTTTACTGGAAACTTTGAAATAAAACAAACTGACTCAAGGGTTAAAATAGATAATATCTTATTATTTTCTTTAGAGTGATGAGGGAGTCTTTTGGCATTCAGTGTAACAAAAAGTTTATTAATAAGGCAGATATTGGTAGCAGTCTGAAGAAATGTCTGTTAGTGGTAATTTAGAAGTCAGACCATAATAGGGATAGTAGTAATGTTAGAAATAGGTCAGTGTCAATGTACTGTTTTTTTTCCCAGCCCTAAGCAAGGCAGAAGTATCATTAACAGATAACATGTCACACATGTCTGGTTTCTCCATGGTAGCATCTCCAGTTGTCATTCTCCCTGTAACCTCTGGTGTCCCTCATCTGGTTCTAGCATAGACATGTCAGCTTATATACTTTTGACCAGGCTCTGAGTTTCTAGTGCAAACATTGGTTTTGGCTAACATCAAAAGTCTGATTGTGCAAATTTTTTTGATGAGACAAAATTATTTTATTTTTCAGCATTCCTTTATTTTTCATTTTATTTATAATGGAAGTTATGCATGGAGCCTCCCTGATTTTTGGTATTTTTCAGTCACAAATAAGTCGGCTCTGCTCCTGAAAACTTCTGGCATTTTTCAGCTGGGTTCAGTCTTTTCTTCTTTTTATTTGATGGTCGCCTTCTCATTAGTCAAGAAAAGCATAGAAAGAGAAGTTTAGGGAGAAAGGTTGAAAGAGATAGGCGTTTTAGAGGAAAGTGCTAATGCCTTTTTTTAATTTGAATTCTTTTTATTTTTGTTTGTTTTTATCAGGACTCACTACAAGTATCACTAGATAGTAATATAAAAAAAAAAACATACTCTGAAGCTAATCCCTGGGAGAGTAACTCATTATACCGTCTTGATCTGACATTTTCCACTGATGTGAGTTGGAACGATTATATAGAGTCAATTGCTAAGACTTTTGTCAGGAAAGTTGGTTCAGTGCATTATGCTAGACATTTTTTCTCACCAGAACTTATCTTACACCTTTATAAGTCTACCATTCATCCATGCATTGAATATTGCTGCCACATTTCATCTGGTGCTTCTACTATGTATCTAAATATTCTTGACAAAATCTAAAGAATCTGCAATGTTATCAGTCCTAACCTAACATCTCAGCTTCAACTACTTCTCTACTACTGTAATGTAACTTCCTTAGGGTGCTTCTATAAATATTTTCATAGTAATTGTTCTAATGAGCTTTACTCTTTGATACCTTGACTACATTAATATAAGTGTAACCTATCTAACTAATCTATGTAAATGGATGTTAGAACAGGGATGGTGAAAAGACAAACTTTACTAATAATTACAAAGAACAGGAAGTTGTGAAGTGCCATGATTGCCCCCATCATGAAGGGGGCACATAGAAGAAGAAATAAATTAAAATATCAATTATTAAAAATATCACTTATTTATATTAAAAATTTTTCTGATTTTTTTTTTTTTTTTTACCCACAAGTCAGAAGTATGACTTTTTCTTATTCATTTGCTTTTCGTGGGGGTGCATACAAACAAATAGCATTTTGGTATATGCTCGTATGTACAAACGTATGTTTATAATTCATTTTTAAAACTGACTTGGCATTTCAGCTTCAATCCTTTTCCCATTGCTGTAACATAGCTTCCTTTTGCTTTTTCTATAAGTATTTTTACAGAAATTGTTCTGATGAGCTTTCCGTGTTGGTAAGGGCTAGCTAAGTTTAAGATAAGACAGACTGAAGACCAGCTTTCGCCTATCCACACTTTTGGCCTTGTGCCACATTCTTGTATTAAAACAAAATAAATATTGCTTTTCTTGTTGGTACCTTAACTTCACAAATTTAAGCATAGTACCAGATTGGCAGATAGGTCTTGTAATTTCATTGTTGAATTTGATAGATATAATTGTAAGTTCTATGCTGATAGTTTCTTCTCTTGCACTTCTCACCTGTGGAATTCTCTTCCAGCTTTCTACTTTCCTATCAACTACAATCTTCAATATTTTAAATACAATGTCAATCATCATCTTCAGTCTTCTTGAATCCTGTTCTTTTATTGTCCTCTCCGTTTCCTTCACTTTCTGTAACCCCTTGTATCCTACTGGTCTTGCCTTGTCTGGGGTGGGGGGGATTATTAAAAAGAGAAAAAAAAAAAAAACAAACAAAAAGAAAACCCATGTGAAAATATATTTTTTTTAAATCTGTTTTTTCTATAAATTGTCTCTACCAAAGATAAAAACACAATCTGAAATTTTTCCAGTAAGTTTCTAGAAACCTTAAATAAGAAGCAACATAAGAAGGTAAACAAAAAAGAAACCCTTTATTGTTCATGAATAGCAAATCAATACAGACAGGCAGTTCTACGGACTTAAAATCACAGGAAAGAGTTCAATATATGCAGATAAGTAGATTGCATCTAAGAAATCTGAAATTCCCAATACCACTTATGTCTTGTATCCACAGTAAAGCACTTACATGGTATAAAACACACACACACACACACACACAAAATAAAAAGCATCTGTACCCCCAAGTGGAATTTCTGTGGTTAATCCATCGAAATAGAAACAATGTGATACACAGTTCAGTCGTCTCAATTCAGCAAATAATACATATGAATCAAACTGAAGTTGATCAAATCGCAAGCATTAATATCTGAACAAAGTAAGGTGGGGAGCTTTAACTAGGTATGTTGCTGTCAGAAACACAAACTTAATATAAACTCTTACTTATAAAAAAAAAAAAAAATACTTTTTAATATTCTTTGGATCTGTATGCTTTCTGCACTTAAGCCAGGAATAGAAGGCAAGTCGGAACAAAAAGATAGGCCAGAAAAATCATTCAAAATTATTTTGTTCTTGGAACCAAGAGGTGGACTGAGAAGTTGCTGGAATAAGCAGACAGGTTGGACTAAAATGGAAAATAAAATAAATGGGTTGAGGGTCTAGAACAACAGTGGGTAGTTCAGGAGGTGGGGAGAGATTTAAATAGCCAACCAGGCTCATCTGTTCCAGACATGAGAGTACTTGGTTACATTTTATTCACTTCAACAACAAAGTCAATGTTAAACAAATTTGCACCATTATTTTTTTTTTTTTTTCAATTTTTCTCTCTCCATCTGTCAAATACATGTCACACATATCCACTCAAGTAAACTTCTAAAATCTAAATTTTTAATTTTATTGACAGGTAACATTTTTAAAATGTCCAAAATAAAGACTTAGCTTTAAAAAAAATATTATGAAAAATAAAATAAAATAATTTTTTTTTAAATGGATTTTGATAAAGATTAATTGTTCTGTTCCACTAAGCTTAAAGTGGAAAGTTAATATGAGACTTTCTGCTGAAGAGTCAGAGCAACACAAGGATGACATAAGACATGGTAAACTTATTTATTCAAAGTGCCCACTGGATCCATTTTGCTGCCAGCATTCTCTAGTAGAACCAGAAGTGCTTACAATAATCATCATTATTGATGTTATTACATGTTCAGAAGCAATCAGAGCATTTTAGCAGCTTTTAAATTATAGATTGATTTTTTAGTCATAATATCTCAGTATTTAATCTCATTTAAGTCCATGTTATTATTAATTATAGTAGATTAAACTACAGAAGTGGATTAATAAGTTTACAGCCAGACATTAGCTGAAACTTATTTTGATTTATGTGATTAATAGTCACCACTGAATTAGGTGCATTGACAAGGCTATTAAAATCCACAAATGGTACCATAAGGCATAATTTACTCATAAAACCACAATTTTCTGAATTCATAAGTACAACAAAGGTTAGTGACTGCCAATTCAATAAAGTAGAGAATTTATTAAACCATGGGAAAGTTATCCCGAATAGTAATCTATTAAACGAATAAATAAAAACATCCCAATATCATACTTCATTTATTTTATACTTATTTTAACTGACCTTAGTAGCCTCTCATGGTGAAGTGCAGTGTGCACTGAACTGGCTCCACCCTTTATACCCAGGATTTGATCTATCATGGCCTAGCAATGCTGGGACAATGACAATGAAGTCCCTGGGTTGTAGGTTTTACAGTGTCTTTCTCTTAGTCAATGGCTAGGGAAAAAGAAGCTGTGGAGTCCAGGACTCCCATGATAATTGTGGTACATGGCTGCTGAGCAAAAGACTTCCTCCGCCCTTTAGACAGGTCTTTTATTTAATCCTGCAGAGTGACTAGCCACCCTCCTCACAGAAAAAAAAAACAAAACTCTGTGGCGATACCAGTTCAGTTACCAATAATCCAACTATGAAACAGGTAATACTGGGATACATAGTACCAGTAGAGTTAGGGAGTGACCTGACCTCTCATACTGCAAATTAATTCCTGTAGTACAGTGATTCCCAATTGAAATGATGTGGCACAAGAGTGTGCTTCACGATCCTCTTAAGTGTTCTGCGAAATATTGTCACAACATGTATGTGTATTTATGGAACTAGCAATGGTACAGCATTAGTATCTGAATAAATGAATAAGTTTTAAATACAAATTTTAAGATAGTGATTCTTAATTGCCATGCCATGGTACACTAGTCTGTTGCGCAATCCTCTTAAGTTTTCTGCGAAATATTGTCATGTGTGTGTGCGTGTATGTGGAAGGAGTACATTTGATGGTACCCACTGATAAATTTTGGATTTCAATACAAAAGGAATATCCCACATTAGCTAAAAAAGGCTTTAACAGTTTTATTGCAATTTTCTACTTCTAATTTATGCAAATTGGGCTTCTCAACACTAAATGAATATTGTCACAACATACATATATATGTGTATATGGAAGGAGTA